CGTCTATTCAAAAACAAATAAATTGACCAGGTTCGATGGGATACAAAAGTATGTTACCCTTCTTATTTCGGGTGCGATGTTCACGTGCGCTAAAACTTTCCGTAGGTTTCAACTTTTTTGTAGACTCAAAGTGTTACATATAATTATTTTGTTAATATGAAGGGTTGATCGAGTCAAAGAGAAACACCGAAGGACGTTCTCAATAATTTTAGCCCTCCTAAAATTTGAAAATATTCAGTGAAAAAACAATAGATCTAGCATATTTTTCGCGGGAGAAAAAAATACCGCGTATTGTATATTTTGTAGCTAAAAGAGTAGGATTTACAGAAGTCTTGAATAACGAGATAATATGTAGGGAAATTATTTCTGAGAAATATATAAAATAGTTTAAAAACATAAAATCGAAACGAATGTTATATGTAATTAATGGAAGAAGTATTATACTGTTGTAGATTCATGTCAAAAATATTTTTAAATGTTATCAAAAGTTTTTTATTATTAATATATGAATTGAAGGTGTAGATCTAATTTTTACAGTTAAGTTGCAAAATCTGGGTATACAAAAATTATTTTAAATGCCATCAAGACAAATTTATCTCAACGCTTAAAAGTTTGAGGTTTAATAATATCTGTCATATGTTGCGGTCCGGACCGGAATATCCGTCCCGAGGGGACCCGCCCATGGGCGGGTTCCCGAGGGACGGATATTCCGAACCGAACCGCAAACATATGTTAGATATTTTTTCTTGCATATTCTGCCATATTATTTCAAATTTAAAATGGTTTACCTCAATATGATATATTTTCATGGAAATTAAAGTCATTTTATCCATAACTATTTTCTAACAATAGCGTATGAACTTACAACTTAAATAACAACAATCTCCTACGCAGTGATCTCCCCTTATCAGTACAGAGATCTCTGCCATCACAAACATTGAAATATCCAAATTTGGATATTTATATTTTTTAGCTTTTTAATTTATTTTTCATTATTTTGTGTACTTTTGATAATTTTTTGTTAAAATATAAAGGACGTAGGTATAAAAAGTTAAAAATAAAACAGAAAGAGAAAAATGACGTCAGATTTTCTATGTAACGGTCGATATTTACATTTGAATTTCGACGTTACGTCATGTGACTTTCATCATCATGTGACGTCTGTGAATGCAGTGATTACAATTCTGCCAAGGGAGGTAATCAGTGTGAGGAGTTTGAAATAACAACGGCGAAATGACGTCATCCTTAGCACATATTTCCCTTCTAAAACTACGTCATTTTAACGCGGTTCATTCATAAAGCGCGCTAAAATGACGTTGTTGTTTGGCACGCGACTCATCTGGCACCCCCCATGCCAGATGAAATTTCCGGCATGGGTAAAACTCACGGAAACACCAGTCTGATATGCAAGAATATATATGCCTAACCGCCCTCTGTCAATGCCGCAACTGGAATCATCCATAAAAAGCGCGAGACATTTTTGTTACGTCATATATTTCGTAAATTGTTGTTGACGTAATAAAGTTTTTTTCGTCAGGAATCCATAAGCATTGTGATGTTGGCACCGTTCTTAAATTATGGAGTTGGAACAAGCTGAATTATGATGTGTTTCATTTCATTTGCTAACCCAGATAACTCCACAAATTGAGCAATGTTTTAAATAATAATGAGACGGATTATCAGTTTAAAAAGTCTGGATCTTCAAAAGTGTAGGAGTCATGTCATTCAGGATTTTTGAAGTAAACAAGTGGGATCTACGGAACTGGATAGAAACTGGCAATGAAGGAATCTTCAGAATGCGAATTTGTGGTGACGTTTATAAAGTTCATAGCCTATGGATTCTATTCAGCTTAAAAGTAAGTGCAATTTCTAGATCTACTCCATGTGACTCGGTGTTCTTGTTGCTATTTTTCATTTTTTAAGTTTTCCATCATACATTGCAACTAAACTGTTACATCTTGTAGATACACCTTTGTAAAATAATCATGAAACGACCCCGATAACCTCATGTATATTTTAGAAACATGACACGTGCTTTCTCCCGTTCATCTTCAAATGAAGAGTACTTCGGCAATGGCTACGGAAAATAAACAACAGAATTACCATAGAGAAATCCAAATTTGCTTTCACAAGAAAAGTAGACACTTTAGAGTAAAATCCTGAAAAATCTCGAGGGTGACTTTTTTTTTGTTTACAAAAAAGTTTTATTTTTTATTCAACGTGGTTTTGTTAATTCATACCAGGCAAAAGTTCATTTCCATTTTTAATGGGACAGACTATATAATATACTTCTCTAATTCTGTTACTGAGTATATACCGCGGTAAACTTTAAAAAGTGGACTTGAATTAGATTTAAAACCAATAAAGTAACCAATAAATTTACGTAAATTATGTCCACGGAGACCATCTTTTCATCCTTATGAAGTTACAATTGTCCATAAAACACAAAATGAAATGTAGACAAAAAAAATAAATATTTCCCATATGTTACTTTAGTTTATATATGTAGACTATTAGTAAATTTATGCCAGTCTGATTTAGAGTCACCGTACCAGTGCTCAACCATAGGCACTTGGTTTCGGGATAAAAAGCCTTTTAGAGGTTTGTAGAACTCAAATTTGATTGAATGTAACGATTTTTTTAACGTAGATGTCTCTTTCCTAAAACCGTCATTTTTCCGATATTACTAAAAAAACAATGACGGTTTTAGGAAAGAGACATCTACGTTGAAAAAATCGTTACATTCAATCAAATTTGAGTTCTACAAACCTCTAAAAGGCTTTTTATCCCGAAACCAAGTGCCTATGTGCTCAACCAGTTTTTCACAAAATCACATAAAAACTCTTACAGGACAAAAAGTTTGCCTGGAAACTTATTTTTGTTACAAAGCTGGCCCTTTCAAACTCACAATAAGCTAAAGCGTTTTAATTACACAGATCAGGATACAATTTACCATGGAGTTGTATATAGGGTATAAAACCACTATATTTTTCAGGCAACCAAACCAGTGCTCGACCAGGTGGTTTTAACTCTATCAGAACTTTTATTTTTTAAAAACAGATATGACTTTTTATGTTCAACAATTCTATTTCAAAAATATTTTGAAACATTTATGTTATAGTGTCTATAGATGTAAATATGAGAGCAAATATGATACGAAGGAAATGCTATACATTGACAAATAAAGTGTTTATAAGAGTTTTGGAATTTACATATACTGGGGTGTTTGAGATTAAATATTCTCATATTTATTTTACTAAAATCACTCTCAAAACATAGTTAAGTGTGATAGTTGGTGTAATATACAAATTCACGAATTCGAAAACCTAGCTAAACGCCGTTTTCCGGTACTTTCTGTACATAGCTCTGGGGAATTCACCTAATGGAGTGTAATAGCGAACTCAATGTTTTTGGCCTTTTTTAAAATTAAATTGAAATAAAACAGTTATTTCTTTATAAGAAAATAATTAAATATCATTGTATAAATAATTCCATACAAAAAATAAAGTAAATACACAAGTTTACGCCGAAAATAACCTTATTTATTATGGAAGATTCCACTACGTCGGTTTAAATTTTATTGAATTTCATTTTAAACAACTTATTTTTTTGAAAAATTTGCAATAGATATTAAAGGAATATTGATAATTTTCAATAACATCAATTCTTTTCACCTTAAACGGTAAAATAATGAAAGAAAAATAGAAATATCATGTAACTGTGTTATGTTCTTCATTTGGTGTAATTCCCCAGAGCTAAATCGGTAACGTACCGGAAAACGGTGTTTAGCTAGGTTTTCGAAAAGGTCAATGGTCTATGCTTTTAGTGGTGTGTTCCCGATTTGTTTCCTTACAGCTGCCATATTTGTTTACAAGTTCATAGCCCCTGCCTTTAATGGAAAGCAGAGTTTTGATAATTTTTGGGCACCTTTCCTATGGAAATCAATTGGAATCATAAGAGTAAAGGCAATTTAACAAAGTATTGTCCACATTTGCCCTAAATTATCATTATTTCAGTGTTTTAAATAGTTTTTACTGCTACTTTTATTATAGAATTGTATTTTTGTACTGTTTAATATTGTCTGCAAAAAGGCCAATCTTCTACCAAACTTGGAGTATTTGTACATGGTGTAGAGGTTACAGGTCAGGAACAAATAGCACACACAAACTCCCAGAGTTTTTCTACTTTAATGCATAAATCGCACACAAATAGAAGTATTGGTCGAGCACTGGGCTGGTCGAGCACAGGTACTGTGACTCTATTTTTAATGTCGTCTGCTTGATATCTTAATTAATACGCGTACTTCACAAAATGAGACTATACTTGTATAGCTAGGGGTCTGTTTCGTTTTGAAATATTCCAGTGCCCTTTTGGTAAACAAATCGCAATTATTTATATTTTCCTATTTTGTTCCACCTTGTTTTAATGCAGTAAATTGAATTTGTATCACAATTCTGGAACTCCACTGAGGTTTAAAAGCCTAAAAACATAACATTTGAATTTCTTACATAAATGAGCTGGGGCACTTTAGACAGAAATATATGCAAAGATAGTTAAAAAATATACTTTGAAATAATTGAAAATCGTATTTATATGCTTTTCTCTTAGTCCGATTTGAGTGAAAAGCGCTTAAACGCTTTTCATTTTGGGTCATTTATTTACAATGTGAATAATTATTCTGGAAAAAAACGAAGTGCGCGAATGATCTGAAATTTTGCACAAAGATTAGTGGTCTAAACCTACATCAAATGGTACGTTTATCAGGAAAAAATATTTTCAGTCCCATCATATCAAAAAACCTCAGTGGAGTTCCTTTAAAGATACTTTGGATTATTTCGTGTGAATAAATAAATAAATAAATAAATAAATAAATAAAATGAATCAATAAATAAAATAAATAAATTGATAAACAATAAATAAAATGAATATATAAAATGGAAGAAAATAAAATAAAATAAGATAAAATAAATAAATAAATAAATTCATCGTATAATTAAAATAAATGTGTGAATACATGAAATTGTCTATTATAAAAATATTGAGTTTTCAGTTTATTTGCAGTTTGTTTAATTTACAGAAAACGTGAGCAATACAAAAATGTGTAAAACAAATAATTTAATTAAATCACCGTAATGCCTGTTAGAACGGGATATGCCCCAGTACTCGGTGTACACGATGCACGAGAATTACTTATTATTCATGAAAATAAGTTGGGAGAGAAAAAATTAGCACGTGAATATCGTGATTTCTGTTATAATTATTTTGACAAATGAGGGGAATGTACTTTACTAATATTAGTGCTGTTATTGTAGAAATATTTTATCGCTGGGTAAATAACATTGAAAGTTGCAAACACAACTCCTTTATTATTTGGCACCACGAATGCTTTGCTTCAAACCAGGCGTGTGATTCCGGTCCTAATCGAGGTAGGTGGTTTTATTTGTTTGTTGCCTGGTGGTTTCGATACTTTCTGTCAAATGTTTTTCTAAAATGAAAACAGTTGTTTGACCCCGCTTCTATTATAGCGTGTTTATACTTTTTTCTTAGTTGATTAGAATATATTTTGAGAATGTATAAAAGTGCAATCCTCAACGGCCCCATTTCCCAATCACTCCCATCGTTCGCAACACCACACTCCCAACCGCTGGCAACACCCTCTGCAATCTTTTCCCAGACAATAAATATATCAACTTCTGATCAATGCCATTATTATTCACATATCAAACAATCTGGTTTACTCACTACAGCCTCTTGTAAAATAAAATTTAATATTCATTTTGTCTGGGTACGCAGCAATGTGAAATTGATGCAGGAATTGTACACCCAGGCACCTTATTAAAGATATATTATGCTCATATTTGGATTTAACTCCATACAGGATTGGAGCAATACCTCTAGACGCTTCACAAAATAGACAAATTTTTTTCACCGATTTTTTTCATTTTTCATTCACTATCATACATAAATCGGTGTGAAAAGATGAGTTAGACCCTTTAAGGTTCATTCCGTTGTGTAAAAAGGCAATATTTTAGCATTTTATCATTCAAGCGCATTGTCCGGTATATACCGGAATACGGTATTTAGTGTGGTGCTCCAATCCTTTTTTAGCTCACCTGTCACAAAGTGACAGGGTGAGCTTTTGTGATCGCTTTTCGTCCGGCGTCCGTCCGTCGTCCGTCCGTCCGTCCGTAAACTTTTACTTTAAATGACATCTCCTCATAAACCACTAAGCAAATTTCATCCAAACTTCACAGGAATGTTCCTTTGGTGGTCACCTTTAAAAATTGTCCAAAGAATTTAATTCCATGCAGAACTCTGGTTGCCATGGCAACCGAAAGAAAAAACTTTAAATATCTTCTTTAAAAAACCCAAAGAGCTAGAGCTTAGATATTTGGCATGAAACATCTTCTAGTGAGTGTCTACCAAGTTTGTTCAAATAAAAGCCCTGGGGTCAAAATTGGCCCCGCCCCAGGGGGTCATTGATTTTCCCTATATGCATATAGTAAAAACTTAAAAAAATCTTCTTTTAAAGAAACCAAAAAGCTAGAGCTAAGATATTTAGCATGAAACATCTTCTAGTGAGTGTCTACCAAGTTTGTTCAAATAAAAGCCCTGGGGTCGAAATTGGCCCCGCCCCAGGGGGTCATTGATTTTACCTATATGCATATAGTAAAAACTTCAAAAATCTTCTTTGAAAAAACCCAAATAGCTAGAGTTTAGATATTAAGCATGAAACATCTTCTAGTGAGTGTCTACAAAGTTTGTACAAATAAAAGCCGTGGGGGCAAAATTGGCCCCGCCCCGGGGGTCATTGATTTCCCTTATATGTGTATAGCAAAAACTTAAAAATCTTCTTTGAAAAAACCCAAATAGCTAGAGTTTAGATATTAAGCATGAAACATCTTCTGGTAAGTGTCTACAAAGTTTGTTCAAATAAAAGCCCTGGGGTCAAAACTGGCCCCGCCCCAGGGGTGTCATTGTTTTTAACTATATGTGTATAGTAAAAACTTAAAAAATCTTCTTTTAAAAAACCCAATGAGCTAGAGCTGATGTTTAGCATGAAACATCTTCTTATGGGTGTCTACCAAGTTTGTTCAAATAAAAGCCCTTGGGTAAAAACTGGCCCAGCCGGGGGGGGGAGGAAGGGTAGAAGGGGGGGGGGCAGAGGTCATTGTTTTTCATTATATGAGTGTAGTAAAAACTTAACATCATGAAACATCTTCTATTAAATGGGTGTCTTCCAAGTTTGTTCAAATAAAAGCCCTGGGGTTTAAACTGACCCCGCTCCAGGGGCCTATATACAGGTGAGCGACCTCAGGGCCATCATGACCCTCTTGTTTAGTCTCACTCCTCATATTTGATATTTGAAAATACTGACTATTATTATACAATCCCTTTGGAAAGTAAAATAAACATTATATTTTTCGAGTACACACATATAAGATATGCGCTACACGCTATCAGATAGCATAGTATAAATACATCGTGCCATCAATAAAACCAGCAGTTTTTTTTAAGCAGCATGCCTCTAGATTCGTTTTTTTAAAATGTGTTAAGAAGTAAAATATTGTCAAGTGAACAAAGAACGTAATTAATACATATTAAACGACTATTGAAACCATTGAAAATTACCCAAAAATGGGTCAGAGGATGCAAAAATAGCCTTTACTGCGCTAGTCACGCAGTAGAAATAAGGTACTAAATACTGCTAAATCAAATGCAAATTACTCCCTTTATTGTGAATATTTTCACTTTTCTTAAAATCTTAGTACATTTTTCTCAAAGTTGATTTTCATGAAATATTTTGGCTCATCTGGAGGCATGCAGCTCTAGGACCAAATCAACAAGTCCAGCAATAGAGAATACATGTAGGTTCTATGTGAATTCTCTTATTCAAATTATACATCAAATCAGTAAGAATCGCATAGTTTTCAATAAATTTCGGCAATAGAAGTGTTATATATCAAATATGAGCATAATAAACATAACAATATATTTGATATAGTTAATTAAATTTTAAAGAAATGAATTAGCACATACAAAATGGCTGCTATGACATTAAATCTCTTAGTATTTTCGGGAAAGTATTTGCTCATAAAGATCATCCCTGTTCTGTTCTGTTCTGTCCTGTCCTGTTAGATTTTGTTTTATAAAAAGGGGCATTAAAATATTATATTGATTCAAATCTTAACATTTGTGAAAAACATAGACAGTTTACCACCCCGATTTCAAATAATAATCATTTTAATCAAGTTGTTACTCTATCCAAATTCACACAATTCACAGTAAAAATCATGCATATTTTTTTTCTTAATTTCAGATTTATATAAAAAATAAGAAAATAAAAAATAAAAATATGGCCATTAATGAGACCATATTTGTCCTTTATAAAGTTATATTTTTCTATAAATCATAAATGTAGACATAAATAAAAAAAACATTTTCCATATGTTACTTTAAATACTGCAGACTATTATTAGAATTTATACCAGTCTGATTTCATAGGTGTTCGGCGCGTTGATTGGTCACTACCCCCGCACCCCCCCCATACAGTATTTTTCATTTGAAACATGTTTTAATATTTGGTTTATGCTTTTAATTCAATTACCTTCATTTCCCACAAAAAAATAAAAAATTGATACATATATACTAAATATAAAATTAAATAAATAAAACTAAATATATATGTATCAATTTTTTATTTTTTGTGGGAACCATAATAGGACAGGGAACCAGATTAGTTGCCAACTAGCATTCGGTGATGTTTTAATTTAACGGTAACTAAAACACGCAGCATTGTGACGTCACAAAAGTTGACGTTACGCATTAGCAACGTCATATTGCACCCGGAAGATTACAAAGACTGTTTCTGAACCATTTAATTATGGAAAATTAATGGCTCGTGAAAATCGAGGCTGTTTCGTTTGGCTCGTAAGTTTAAAGAAATCATGCAACGAAAGGGTGAGTAGAATAAATAGAATTTTTGAACATTCATTTTAGATAATAAATCAACGGTTTTTTCGAGAATCATTTAAAATGGCGGCATAATTTCCTTTGGGAAATTTATTAATGGCGATTGTGTTGATGATTATAAAAATAATAATATAAAAAAAATATAATAATAATAATAATAATAATAATAATAATATATATTCAATGATAAAATGATAAGATGATTCTAAGATTTTAGTGGGAACTAAAAATTTAAACATGAGCAGTGTCATTAACATTTCAAATAAAAAATATACAATAAAATCATGGGCTTCTGAAACTTGAATGCAGGTTAATACTTAAAATAAGGAACATTGACTCTTTTACAGTTTGCAAGATTTCGAAACCGCATGCGCCAAAGATACTATGCAAGAAGAGGCAAGACTCTTGACCCAGAAACCCTGTTAAATGAAACAGGAAATGCCGACATGGTCGTCTGTAAGATTGCCAGCAAGTCAAATAAAGTCGCTCCTCAATGGTTGTCATCTCTGATTGGTATGGTAGTTTATACATTAATTTATAAATTATTTTATAAAAGAATTCTTACTGTAGTATTTTCTACAAACATTTACAGTTTTAATGTCCAGAAACGAAAATCAAAGTACAGAATTGCAGATTGGCTGAATATAAACAACTAAAATGTAAAGGAAAAAAACAACAAACAAAACTTTTTCCTTTCTCTCTCCCTCTCTTTGATTTTGTTCAATTTTCATATAATAAAAGATGTAACAAAAATAAAACATAACAATTTGAAAACACACTCCTTTTTCAGGTGAAGTTGTTGATAATGAAAGTGCAACAGTGATAGAGACCACATCAGACGACAAACTTGGTAAATACATGTATATTTTCTCAATTACTTTTACAATGTCATTACTGAAAATACAGCAGAAATTCCAAAAAATATCTTTCGAAATTTAATCAGATAGTTGAAAAAGTCCGTTTTGTAATCCATCAAGTGCAGCATATATTGCCGTTGCTACATCTTTAATGAACCCGCAATTTAATTAGCTGTATAGTTTAAACAGAATGATTACGAGATATTTTGTTAAATTATGCGTTCAATATAAAAATGCATGTGCTTTTAAACCGATCACATTCAAATTTATACTGATCATTTAGATATCATCATGTAAGGCTTCTTGTTTTGTGACACTATGTCATAATAACATGAAATAAAGATTTAATACCTTTTTTTAGTTGAAGAATACGTGACATGGATCATAGACAAGGCAGCTGACACTCTGAGACAGGAGTTGCCTAGAAACACAACCACCTTAACAGTGAGGCCAGCAGACGACAACATATCATTGTCCTCCAGTATCATCAGCCGTAAGTCATTTTGTTGCTACAAAGGTTAATTGTAACAACATGCCTATTGCCCCGGGGGAATGCGTAGGATAGCTGATATTTTGGACTTTGTCTGCCCCGCACTTCCGGGTAAATACGAAGGTTGCGGCTTTTGCCAACATTTTACCTTCTGGCAGTCTCCGCAGGGTGGGGCCTTACCAAGAGCGAGGCGCAGGTAAAACCTGATCTGTGCATGAAATAATTCGTTTAGATAAATCATGAATATATTGATAATTCTACATTTTCAACAGTTATTTACGACATATATCTAAAACAAAGTACTGTACCTTTATACGGAAATTTTATGGTTGTTTAAGTACATTGCATAGATAAAACTTATCCAATGAGTTTGGATGTTTTTACCGCTGACTGTTGTTTTTTCACCTTGACACACGGTAATCTTAAGAGTTATTTGCTATCCCATTCCCAGGTACTCATGCAGCAACGACTGAAACACATAAACACCCGATTATTTTTTGTAAAGAGAATTCTTAATTCTGAGAAGTTACATTTTAGTGTACACGATATAATTATTTTATTTGACAGAAATTGCTGATATGGCTGTAACAGAGAGCTTGTCAAATATTGTGATGGATGCCGACATCAACTACTCTGCTTTTAGAGCACCTAGAACTATCAAAGAATTCAAGGGTAAGCATGTATATTTAATATTTTGTGACATACCAAAAAAGCCATACAGTAATTCATAATTTTTCATAAAAATAGGCGTCGAGCCGACCAAGAGAAAAAACTTCTGACGAGCTTTCTTTTAAACAAGTTAAAGCACTGGTTACACTTCAAAAGAGCAATTGTGTTCATTCTTTTACAGAAGCATTTGGCATAACCGGATGTGACATCAGTGATGATGGTCGTCCACCTGAAAGTGTGTAAGGTAAGAATTGACAATAATTTCAGATTTTTTTTTTATCAAATCCATTGTTGAAACATTTGGAAACGTAAAGTATGTATACTTAGGTATGCCTTCTACAATATTATTACAAATTTAAAGAACTCACTAAAGCCACAAGTTGAAATATCTTAACTTTCGATATATTGTAGAAATTGTTTTAGCTTTCATTTGGCTAAATGCATATAAAATGAACATATGAATGTTGAATGATAAGATAACTTTGTAATAAAAGCTCGAGGTGCTTACATGTGGTACTCTATCCGCAGCTTATTGTTATGAAGACAAAAGTTAAGTCTTTCATATTTCAAACACCTTATCTTAAATCAATGGCCAAGTTAACTGTACGTAAACGTTCTTTTATTATGAAGACATATTCTGTTATTGAAAAAAGGTCCGAATATGTTGATATAACACAGCATTCCAATATAAATTTAAGTACATGTATATACAAAATACATGTCTGAAGAAACTTCTACCCCACATTATTCTTTTTCACACTTTGTCTAACCATTGGAATACCTCCTTGATTATTCCCATATTCACGACGTTTGACGGAAATGACCGAAAGGTTGCATGCGATCGCTAGAATTGTGTTCCTTTCCTCTTTCTAAAGTTCAAGTTGCGCCAATTTCTGAATTTCCATAAAATAAGCAATACTGAATATTAAATATGTAAAATTGATAATTTCTGGAAAACATGTCTTTTGTTACCTATAGTTTGTTCTTCAAATTTCAGATTGAAAGAAGAAGAAAGAAACCACGTGCATGTCTATTTTTGTTTGTTTTGTTTTGCTGTTTCGTTTTGATTGCTTGTTTTGTTGTTGTTGTTTTTTTGCTTTGTTTGTTTTTTATATTATTATTTTCGTCTTTTCATGTTCTGCTCAGGCATCGATTTTATATCTTTAAATATTATTGTCATAAACATGTTTCTGAATTTTATTTTTACTAATAAAGTCCATTGAAACATAAACTTGTCTATAATTTTCTATCTTCCAGTAAATTTCTCATTGAAATAGTCACAGTTTGAAACATATCGTTTTTATGCTTTTCCAATAATTTTGGTAGCACATCATATTGCAAGGGAAAATATGATAATGAATTAAGGCATGATAGACACTCAACACAACTTTTTACCATGCGCAAGACGGCTGTAAACTTAAATAAGTTTGTGTATTAGTTTTGAATGCTAATCTGTGTGTTTAATTTGAATACTGCAGTAAGCTTTTGCGTGATCTTTGCTAAACACGTACAAAAGCCTTATAAGAGTTTGTTTCCGTTTGTTACAATTTATTCTTAAAAAAAAAGAAAAAAAGAAGATAGAACAACAACAACAACAACAACAACAACAAAACATTTGTAATACTAAAAAACGTTTAAAACAAATAATGAAATAAGATCACTGCAATGCATGTTCGTTCTGGATATGCTCCTGTACTTACGGTGGCACAAAGGTGACATGTGTGTGTTTTTAATTTATCTCGTGCGCACGAGTTACTAAGTTGTGGCCACGAGATAATTAAGTCGTGGGAACGAGATACTATGTCGTTGGCACGAGATACTAAGCCGTGGCCACGAGTTACTAAGTCGTGGCCACGAGATAGTTAAGTCGTGGGAACGAGATACTATGTCGTGGCCACGAGTTACTATGGATATAAAATTGTGTAATATATTTTTTTTGCTGCAAATTCTTGTCTTATTCTATGTTATTTTATGAAAAATATTAAATGAGAGTTTGAACATTTTCGAGAACGGAACAAAACTGCCAAGAATTTGTGTTGTCGAAAATTGTCTGTGTATGTGAATCATTCATGTAAAGCAAATACATGTACATGTAATATTGTTGCGCTACGGTCAAGCTATATGGTACCAGGTCCCTTAAATCTATTTAAAAATGTGGTAACGTGTGACCAATTATCAGACTGGACTGTAGAGAACGATACTGTACACAATTATAACAAATAAAAATAGAAATTGTTATGGTTAGGGGGACTGATGATACTTGATTTGGATGGCTGTCAAAGCCTATAGATCCATTTAGCTGAAATATGCTATTATGACATCTGCCAATAGTGGGCTACTCTGTATAACATTGTATGGCTTGGACACTGTACTCCAAAGTACTTGATAATAATTCCCCACTTCTGGAGGTACATGTATGCCAGTTTAAGATTAAAATTGAGTCACAAAAAAGAAAGACTGTTCACAGTTTACTAATTTTAATTAGTGATAAACTGTTAATAAATTCAAATGTGAAATATTCAAATAACAGTATTGTATATAACATCAACACATGTATATAATTCAGTCTTAAATATCCGATAGCTATGTCTTACATAGACTTCACATAAATTATTACCGCGACTGCCGTTTAATTTCTATTAAAAAATGTGGAAACGTAAATATAAAGTTTGGTCGAGTCAGTGACCGTAATAATGTGAAACAAAAATTATAAAGTTCTTATCAATTATTCTTAGACAATAATTGATTAAATGTAAAATAATAATCTATAGACTATGTTTTATTTTGCCTTAAAAATAAGTAAAAATTGACGTTCAGAAGAACACGACAATAATGTATACTAACCGAAAGTTAAATGAAAACTGACTGAAGTTGATCGTTTTCTTGCCTATTTATACCAAATCTGAGAAAACGAACATAAAAAGGTTCGAAAAATGTTCAGCTTTACGTTTTGGTCAGTGGACAATGGTCGATGTTCGAAAACTGATCATTTGACGTTCGGAAACGATCATTTCCATACAGAAAGAATTCTGTCAACCAACCGAACGTCCGAGCATCAACAATTCTTAGCTAAAGTTCTATGAAAGTTTACATAAAAATATGATAAATTGATACATATAATATTTATAAAAATGACTAGTACCATGGATTGACTATAAGTTTGTTGCTTTTGATGAAACATAGCTTTGAAACAATTTGTTTACTGAGCTTCAGCAGCAATTGCTATTGACAACGGAAATCATACAACCCATAATGCATTAGCGAACAACAACACCTGTCAAAGTTTATCGAGTAAAATCACAATAAATGCTACTTTTTAGCTAAGTGTACGCTGTTTATAAGAAAATATGTAAACAATTAATGAAATAAATCATTACTCTTTATAATTCTGACATTATTTATGGTTGTCAGTCTATGAAATTAACAAAAAAAGCGTTTACCGGTACATGCAAAATGTAAACAATGCTGGTAATTACTTACGATTAGAGTAAACAAGTGCGATTATATCAATATTACGAAAATAAAATGAGCTTTCATAATTGAAGTACTCGCTCCTGTCTGTTAATTAAGAAACAGTTTTATGTTTAAATCATATATTACTAAATTTTTATTGCAACACCTTCCCCCATCATTACATTTTCCCTGCTATTCTATTCTTATTAATATTTTATGCGGTTCTGTGGAGTCATATATCGAGACATAAACCTTTATACAGAAATTAGTATAGTGGAATTACGCATAGATATCAATGTTGATATTAACTCGTGAATCATATTGGTTTAAAGAAGCTCTTCAGACAGACATTGATAGCTTGGTATGGAACCATAATTGGACAGGGAACCAGATTATCCCGTTGCCAACTAGCATTCGATGATGTTTTAATTTAACGGTAACTAAAACACGCAGCATTGTGACGTCACAAAAGTTGACGTTACGCATTAGCAACGTCATATTGCACCCGGAAGATTACAAAGGCTGTTTTTAAACCATTTAAATTATGGAAAATTAATGGCTAGTGAAAATCGAGGCTGTTTCGTTTGGCTTATAAGTTTAAAGAAGTCTTGCAATGAAAGGGTGAGTAGAATAAATTTAATTTTCAACATTCAGTCTAGATAATAAATACACTGTTTTTTTGAGAATCATTTAAAAAGGCAGCATTATTTACTTTGGGGAATTTATTGATGGTAATGATGTTGATGATGATAAAGATTTGATAATAAAATAAATAATAATTATTATGATAAATAAATCAATTTATGAATAAATAATAATATATAATAATAATAATAATAATAATAATAAATGTAATAATAAAAATAATAATTATATTTTATTACATGCTTTTCGGTGGTTTATAGAAATATATCAGTGGTATAAATATGGTAATTTCACTTTTGGAAACAGTGAAATTACCACTTTGATAATTTCACTGTTTTGAATTTAAGCCCCTTACGTTGTTTCAGTGAAATACCAGCGTGCACAGTACTGGGAACCAACTTTATGACGTGACGTCGTAAATGACGTCACGTAATATTATTATTTGGCGCGCTTTTCATTCTGTATGAGATTAAATGTCTTTTCAAAACGTTTCTTTGCATATAATAAAAAGAAAATTTGTTTAGTTTAGTGTAAGATCGAAATATATTTCACCTTGTGAACACCAAAAGTTCATATTTAACTCGTGGCTGCGCCACTCGTGAAATATACCTTTTGGTGCTCACTCGGTAAAATATATTCCGATCTTACACTGAACTAAACAAATATCCTCTATATAAATATTATTATTATTATTAGTAATAGTAGTAGTAGTATTATAATTATTATTATCATTATTTTTAACATTATTATTATTTTAATGATAAAATGATCAGATAATCCTAAGATTTTAGTGGAAAGTAAAAATTTAAATACATGTATAAGCAGTGTAATTAATATTTCAAAAGAAAAAAAATAGACAATAAAATCATTGGCTTCTGAAATTTAAATGCAGGTGATTACTGTATATAAAGAACATTGACTCTTTTACAGTTTGCAAGATTTCGAAACCGCATGCGCCAAAGATACTATGCAAGAAGAGGCAAGACTCTTGACCCAGAAACCCTGTTAAATGAAACAGGTACTGCCGACATGGTCGTTTGTAAGATTGCCAGCAAGTCAAACAAAGTCGTTCCTCAAAACCTGTCATCTAAGAATGGTATAGAAATTTATACATTAATTTATAAATTGTTTTATAAAAGAATTCTTACCGCAGTATATTTTCTACAACATTTAAAATTTTTATTGTTTTAAAAACAAAAATCAAATACTGAAGTACAGAGGGTGGCTATTGTCATTTTTTTTTCATCCCAAACCCCAAAAAAATAAGGATATTCTGTTTCTCTAAAAATAAGGAATCCAATTTAATCGGGGGATAAAAATAAAATTTCAATCCTGTCTTAATAGAAAAAAGCTTGAATTTTCTTTGTTTATTATATACTTTTTCTTTTTTAACCTTATGAATAGGAAGCATTTCCTTTTAATTTTGTGTATTGGCTAAATTTAGAAAAAAAGTAGTCCGGCCAGACACCAGTAAAAATATGGAAAATATGTTTCAATGCAGTGAAAAAGAAAGTTTTACAGGGAAAATACAGAAAAAATACGATTTTTATTTCATCAATATTTATCAATATTTCAATATTCCCGAAAAAAGCATTTTCGTTTCTCTCTCCCTCTCTTTGATTTTGTAAAATTTTCATGTAATAAAGAAATGTAACACAAATAACTTAACAATTTGAAAACACATTCCTTTTTCAGACGATTTTGTTGATAATGAAAGTGCAACAGTGATAGAGGTCACAGCAGACGACAAACTAGGCAAATACATGCATTTTACTCAATTATTTTTATTTCATTACTTATGTAAGATGACAAACTTTCCAAAAAATATCTTTCAAAATTTAATCAGATAGTTGAAAAAGCCCGTTTTGTAATCCATCAAGTGCTATATATTGCCGTTGCTACATCTTTAATGAACCCGCAATTTAATTAGTTACATATACATTGTATGATATATTTTGTTAAATGTTGCATTCAATACAAAAATTGTTTGCTTTAAAACCGATCGTCACATTCAAATTTATACTGATCATTTAGATATGTAAGGCGACAACAACAAATACTTCTCGTTATGTGACACTATGTCATTATAACATGAAATAAAGATTTAACATATTTTTTTAGTTGAAAAATACGTGACATGCATCATAGACAAGGCAGCCGACACTCTGAGACAGGAGTTGCCTAGCAACACAAAGACCGTAACAGTGAGGCCAGCA